TGTGCAGATGTTGAATGCCACGCGACGGAATTTCTCTTTGGCAGATTTGTGGCAAGTTGCGAAGCTCGTCACACCACCCACATCAGTCAGCGACCGTTTTCGACCCCATTTTCCAGCTTCGAAGAACACCCGGTGGTACCAGAGGCCGGAAAAGGGCAGCAAAAAGGTTTCCGCGCCCTAGGCACAGCGAGCAGCAACCCACTGGTATCGAACCGGTGACCTCTTTCTCCAGCGGCAACCACTTTCCGCAGTTTCCCGTCGACGGTGACGACCATCGATGTGACGGCCGTACCCCGTCTACGTAGAAGACCACAACTCAGCGTGTGAGGCGTAGCTGGAAAACGACATCGGCTATGTGCAGTCCGCAGTAGCATAGTTTCGGAGTCCGTAGGAGTATCGCGTGTGGTACACGTGGGTCCAACCGGCATCATCGAGCAACCGCCAATTCCTCCACGCAAGTAGCGAGTCAAAACGTGAGTAACATGCATGTTAACAAAATTCCCATGCGCATGGTGAGTTAAAGCCCCTAGCATAGCATAACCGCTAGCGTGGCCGCTGTTCGTTCAGCCGTTACCCATTCCGATCCGCGCAAGCGTCGGTAACGCCAAACAGCTTTTTGTAGCACACACAAAATGAACACCATTCGTCGCACATAACATGAAAATACGCTATGTTTATGAAATCATGAGTAATTTTTCTCATTTCAGATTTTTGATTTGTTTCCGTGTAGAGATGGAAGTACACAAGTCAGCAACGCGAACTGAATCGATACACTCCGGTAGTTCTCAGCATCAGAACGAGAACCCTTCTCATGAATTGGAGTTATGTGTGAGATTTCCGCGGGAAATAACCAGACGATAGCGATGAATTGAAAAGAATAGACAGGGGTTCAACAAGCTCATCCTTGTATTCCTTCAAAAACTTATTTGAAAATCTGTCTGCCCAACAAGCCTTGTCTCTCTTATTCATGAAATAACTCTAACAAGTCAGCGGTTTCGTTGACTGAAGAGTTAATTTCATTTGAGTGATCGTTCCGATAAACACTCTTGAAGTACTCCGCAAAGAGTTCAGCGGTATCCTGTACATTGGAAGAAGACCTGTTTCCATACTTTATCTCCTCCGGAATTTCGTTGTTTTTACGTCTTCTATTCACGATCTTCCAAAAATATTTCGGATTTTCTTGAATCAAATTCTTAATCCCAGTTATGTATACTGATACGCTTATCTGTGTAACACTTTGAACGTTCTTCGTAGTTGTTCAGTTTCCTCACAGCAAAAAATATTGAATTTTAATTTAAACAGCACCGGTGTAGTGTAAGCAGGAAAAAGCGCGACAGCTCAACAACATTTGTTTGCAAGCGGCGCCGGTGGTGTAGTGGTAAACGTGATTACCTCTCACCCCAGCAGGCCTCGGTTCAATCCCAATCAGCGCCGCCGGGATGTTCTGAGACATAACATCTCTGATCACGGGAAGGGAAGTAAAGCCGTTGGTCCCCGATTCATGAGTTGATGGGTCGATAGGTGGTAGGGTCCAGGTTACGTTAAATTTGACGATTTTAAATTGGCTCACCACTTGACTAGCCTATTGGACCCAAGCAAATCGATTACCGTACCCCATTCTAGTCGAAATTCTAGTACTACACTATATTTGTTTTGATTTGTTATGAAAGTTTGACAGATAAAATGAGGGGTTCGTGGATTTTCCTATGTTTTGAGGGGTTCATCGATTAGCTTGGGACCGAAGAGAGTACCAGAGCTGAACCAAAAAGTTGAGCACGTTTCTTCAGGACATTCTGGTCTTAGAGTTACTTCTATGCCAATACTACACAGTCCGTGATGGTCAGGAAGTTGACAATGCCGATAAGTCAATTTTTACCGAAAAATTTGGTAAGAAGGCCACGATTTGGCAAGCGATATGTGAGTGTGGCAAGTTGTCAAAGCCATTTGTGACGAAGGAGACGATGAACACTGAAATTTACGCTCGGGAGTGTTTGAATCGGCATCTGCGGCCCATAATCCGTTAACATGATGGTCCAGTACTATTTTGGTCCAATTTGGTGTCCATAAACTACTCGAGACATGGTAGCTTGGTACAATGCAAACTAAGTGCAATACGTGCCATAAGAGATGAATCTTCCGAATTGTTCGGAGGCCCAGTCAATCGAAGCTTTTTGGAGCCTTTCCAAGGGATATCTACGGAATTCATTCAAAGAATTTGAAAAATATTGAACAATAGTGACCAAAGTTATCACCAAGGAATCTGTGCTGAAGCTCATGGGCAGCGTCAGATCAAAAGTTTGCTCTTTGGCATACGATTAAAGGAACTGCGGATTATTTTCATCGAATAGAGAACATAAATAAAAATTTGAGTTCATTAACATTGTAATGACGATTACCCCTCGGCGCGTAACGATGGCTAGTTTCCACCTGAGTACTGCGAACTAACTCAAAATGCTTGTCATCTGGGAGCCGAGTCGAACTGTCAAACGGGAGCCAAACATTCAAAAGAGCTCTGAAGTCATGTGGATAGTTACTGTTTGAACCACAAGTAAAGATATTGCCACCTACTGAAAATAAATTAATAATTATAATTATGAAACTGTCGAAACATCAACCTTAGTAGGCGGATAATGTTGATCATCAAACGTGATGCTCGAATAAGTGTTTTTATTCGATATTTATAATAATGCCAAAACTGGGTTACGAATTGCTGAAATAAGAATTTAATCAAACTTTATAAGAGTCATGTGAGCTTTGTGGGCAGGTGCACTCAAACACCATGTATACGTTATTTGTGGAGCAGAGAAGGAGGAGCCAAGGGTTCATTTGACAGCATGTATATACGATTTCGCGAGCTGTTTCAGCAAAACAATTTGAAGCTTCGAAAGATTTCAAGATGTTTTCTTGCTCACTTGAAAAATTAAATCGACAGAGTTCGCAATACCCAGGTTTCCACAGGGTCGACCAACGGCACCGAATCTTCCTGGGATGAAGAAACGTCGTCGCGATAGAAAAACAGATGTATGGGGAGGACAGTACATAACGCACCCCCGGGGTAAGAGGCACTTTTTCATTTTATTTTGAGTTTTTCTTGGAATTTTTAATCCAATTCAAGGATTTATCATGCAGGATTTTGAGTTCAGATGCTATGCTAGAAAGCACTTCTTGATAAGACAACAAAAAAGTTACGTAAAAGCCATGAAAAACACAAATGAAAGTCAGTTGGTGCGTTGTATACCATTCTCCCCTACAAGGGAAGACGAAAATTGTAAACATTGATTCTAGTTGGAGATTAACTCGTGAGTTTGGTTTTTTTTTTTTTTCCTTTGGTTTGTTTTTTTCCGTGCTGAGCACCAATGCTACCGACGTGCCAGGAAGGCAGCTCCCACACCTGGACCCTACCTATCGACCCATCAACTCATGAACCGGGGACCAACGGCTTTACTTCCCATTCGAAGGAAGGCGTGATCAGAGATGTTATGCCTCAGAACATCCCGGCGGCGCCGACTGGGATTGAACCCAGGCCTGCTGGGGTGAGAGGTAATCACGCTTACCACTACACCACCGGCGCCGTTTGTGAGTTTAGTTGAAATGAATAGTTTGTTGAAATAATTGACTTAATAGAAAACTTAAGTAACCTAGAATTTTAAAGAATTTACACCTAAAGGAATAAGTACGGAGAAAACTGAAGAATTGTTAGTTTAAAACTTTATTACTTTTGATGAAAATACTTATAATAAATAAGCTATTTGCAGCCTAAGCTGTTCCCAACAAAATTCGAGTTTTACGGGATGCTAATATAAATCAGTTCAATAAACATAACGTTGTTTTATTCAAATAATAAACTGTGCTTATACTTTCTGGGACACCCTATAGAATGATGACCAGATATGCCATCCTATTTCAGCGAACTTGGACGGCGTCCAAATATCTAGAAAAAATAAGACGGACTAAAAAAATTATCAACAGAAATTAGATTAGAGGATAGTAGCTTCGTCATTGAATGGAGCTCCAACCTCCAACAACAGCAATCTGTCAGTATTATTGCACATTCACACCGTATTGAACCGCTGTACTACTAATAACAGTTGAGTTAATGCTTATATTGTTGGTAATGTTTTTTTTTTTAATGAGGAAATCAGGAATTGAACGCAGTAATCTAATACAGTGCGAAACGAGCACCAAAAACAGTAATGTCTCTTTATTTCCCTCAAGGATGCCGTTGAAACGACACCACTGGTCCTGATAGTTGTGACCACATCCGCCGCACTGCATTCCGCAGAAGACCACGAGAAGCTGGATTACACACGAAAAGAGAACCAACCTCGATTACTGCTGGTTCCCTCCGGGAATCCCAGATTTGGATAGCTGGCACACAATTGAAAACGATGGTGCTGATAACACACAGTGCAGTGATAACCATAGCTACGGAGAGGAACTTGACGACGACGTGCAGACTTTCATGCTTCGAATGCTTCTAACGCATGGTACCATACTCATCCATTGTCCAGTTGCGCGGTAATTTTGCGAATCCACTCCGCTTCCGTGGATAGATATTTGCCTGTACATTCAGATTTAGGAACTCTGAAAACCGCAAGCCGCTCTTCGCAGCACACGCGCCAAGTGCACCCACACTGGCTCACTCTGGCTGACTGGGATGGATGGGTGAGACGAAGTAAGTGGTCACGCGTTCGTTCTGTTCGTTATCGTCTCCTCATGGTCATTATTATTGCACTTGTGAATGCTGTGCAAACCGGTAACGATGCGGTTTGACCCATGGGTGTGTCTGGACGTTTCCTAATTTGAAACCATTATAGAGGGGGCTTCTACAATGTCGATCTGAGCACGCCAATGCAGAAACCTGCATTGCAATGCATCATTAATTTGGTCAAAACTGACAGCGGCTGTCATCTGCACTCCCGCTGCATTGTCTTGTTTTACACACGCTTGAGAATTGTAAAATTACTGATGATGGTTCTTCTCGTTCGTTCTACTTTCAGCTACCAAAAGGGCTCCACGCCGCACCCTGGTCCTGACTTTTTCCGCAAAGGTAATTGCCTGCTTGCTGATCCATCCAGCTCATTATCCCATTTTATCACTGATAAATGCAATTACCAGCTCAAATCTCGCAACTCAGAAGAATAGCCTTTCATCTCCGGTAATCCCATTAGGAGTGGTACGGGATTTGCCTTGGCAGCTAGCGAAACGCCTCACAAACCATATCAAGTCTTCTTATCTAAACGATGTTCGCAATAGCTTCACCCGCCTCAACGAAAATTGATATCTCCATCAGATTCATCGATCCGTGACCCCACCAACTCCAGCTCGCATCAATCGAACTCGAACCAATCATCCAAATAGGCTTACAACCCACACCCGCACCCGATACATCAGTGCGGTTTGGCTCGGTAAGTTTATGAGCGGTTCGGAAGATGGGCGGGCGGAAAAAGGTTGGAAAAGAAATCGTTCTCCAGCACGGATTACACATATAACCGTGAAACGTGCAAACGTAAACGTGACTGATTGTGATTGATGATAACGGTCTCGTGCCGCAGTCAGTCTGTGTGTGCGACATTCAACATTTTCCGATGACGATGTTGTCAGTCAGTCGTTCACAGTTGGTTGAAGTCGATATAGGCCTGCAACGGAAATATAAAAGCTGAAGCTGGTGAAGATATTTTAATGATTAACTGCGGGAGGACTTTTAGTGGTGAGCGAGTGATGGCATGATGTGAATCGTGATACAGAGATTATATTGAGTTTTCCCGTCAGTTCCACTCAGTGAGGGTTCTCACTGTGAAAGCTGATTTTTCAAAAGGATTCTTTCTTCTTCTTAAAGTGACTCAACGTCCTTCTTCAAAAAGTTCGTACACTGAACTAAATCATCAATCGAATTTCTGGATTGATCATCATTTCAAGATTTTCTGATACCGTACACTCAAACAATTATTCACGTCAGAGTTACATGATTCTATGGTAGATTTATCCCCTTTTCATTGAATGCAGCGTACCATATTTTCACGTAAAAGTAACGTGATTTGATTGATTGTTTTGACGGTATTTTCAGGTGGTAATTATTTTAAAGCCCACCCCCAAATGCTGTCGTGAGTTTGAATATTTTAAAAAGGTGTTTAAATGCTGAACTCAAAATGCTCAAATAAATACTGACGCTTAGTAAGAGATTGTTAGAATACTTTACTTACTTACTTACTGAGTCTTGCATTCCCAAAATTTGGATTTGTGGTTTTCTCCACAATTTGAAGATTTAAATTTCGTAGGATCTTCCACAATTCATTTAGAAATGTTTTGTTCCGTGACCCCATCCCTGGCACTATCGGCACTGAGTGAGATTTTGCAAGCTTCCTTCAGTCTTCCTGAAGTGTTCCCACTTCACTTGGACATGGAGCATAAGGCTACCTTTTTCTATTGCCTTAAGGTTGATTAATTCACTAGACTTGAAGTGAACTAAATAAAAATCATTAAAAATCCCATTGCGTGAATCGCCAAGACGGGATTTAATTTTCATTTTGATTACTTGGTCTGACTCAAATCCAATTATATTTGTCAATTCATCTTTGATCTGATCCAAGGATTCACCATCATGAACAGACGTTCAGTTTTGGTGTCTTAAGTGAAAAATTTGTGTAGCTTCTCAGTCAGATACTTTAGACGACGTTTGAATCCGTCCATGGTTTCAAGTAATACATCGCATCCACCTCGACAGCCAATTTGAAGTGAAAACTAGAATTTAACGAAGTTCAACAGTTCCATTCAAAAAGCGTGGAAATCGGAAGTGGTTACCACAATAGGGGGACCTATTCCTTCTTGGCATTAAGCCAGGAATGTTCATTGGAATTTCGCCAGGATGATGATTCATTCTCATTATTCGTGAGCATATCAAATGGATTGCTCAAATGAATTTCATCAGAAGGGGCATCAAGAGTTTGCCCCTTTCTTTTGCGTTAAGGCGCCATGGTGGCAGTAAATTTTTATCCAAATCGACTTCCATGCAGATTACTATAAGATTCCGAAGGATCGAAGAGGAATTTTCCAAATTGATGTTTAAACAGGATTACCTCGGGTATGGTCCAAACAAGGATCTAAAAAGAACAAAAGTATAAAAGGAAGACAATTTACCGGTAATATTAAGCACTGAAAAAAGCTGATTAAATTTGTTGGAGGTATAGGTACCAGTAACACTTCCTTCAGAAAAAAATCAAATAGATCCGCATGGCATGAGAACACGATGTGAACTGATTTTATTGTTGCTTTTTTGCGGTTTTACCGACGACAAAAAAATATATATATTGCAATTTTTTCAAGGTTCAATTGCTACTTTTCACTAGCCTATTGCTCATTTTCAATATTGTTTTGCTCTACAAAATACATCATATAAAATTACTGAAAACATTTAATTTACAATTCTACAATGAGGAGAGACTATTACGAACAGAACAATTTATGCACTTCTAGTGGACAAAGTATCATTTTAAAGAAGGGCATATATTCAAAACATTACAATGTTTGTTCTTCACACATGCCTTGTATAAGCAATACCTTATGTGGAAAATCTGTGTTAAACAAAACCGATGCAAACAGGAAAGGTACGTTATAGATTATTTTAATACATCGATTTTGTAATACTTGCAGTCTCTTAAGCTTTGATTTACAGGCTCTGCCCATACAATTATCAAATACTGCAATTGTGAGTGAATGTGAGCGCAATCGAACAAAAGCAGAAATTTTCGAGGAATTAAACAACTAACCCGGTTTGAAATTCCCCTCACAGATGAAACTTTTCCCGCTACTTCCTTAATATGCAGGTCCCAAGACAAGGTACAAGCTGGATACGTAGATATTTAAATGATTCTACTTTCTGTATGACGTTAACATCCATTACTCAATTAGGAGCAATGGATCAATGAAAATGCTTAGGTTTTGACAGAACTATGCTGTGGCTACCACAGTATTTAACATTTGATCGTCCATATACAGTAGCGCCAAAAGCATGCTGTGGCGGGTTAAAAACTTGATCATCAAAATTGATCAATAGGAAAAAAATTTCTTGGTGGTCGGAAGATCATGTAAGGGAAATGTAGGTAATGTCGGCCTACATGTCCCTAATTTGGGCCCATAGCTAAAAGTCTGCTGTTTATCAATTTTATCTAGATGAACGCGTTATTGGGATGTTACTAATGGCTATTTTTGGTTGCTATTGACTACGTCTGTGATTTCTATATGGGGCTACACTTTGTGGAAACCGAAAATGGAACGTGTAACAAAATTATGAAATATTTTGAACGTTAATAACTCAGCAGCGCCTGGACCAAATTCAATAATTTTATCACCAATCGATCAGAAATATTCCTACGCATCTGTTTAATTTAAGACTGAACCATGTTTTAAAATGCCACTATTGAAAATTGCACGAATGAGCAACTGTTGCTATATTAATTAAAATTTTCACTGATTGCCTGCAGAAAGCGATTTCCCTAACGCAGATTTCAAAGTTGAATTCCATCCGGTTTCACCAAACGGTGTTTATTCAATGACCGCGTGGTGAGTGGTGAAGTTCCTGACATGAGACCCCATAGGGCTGTACAATGCAGTTTTATTTCAAAAACTCTTTTTTTCTAATTTTACTACATTCAAAATGGCCGAACACAACGAAAGGCTCCCCAAAAGTAGCTAGCTATTAAGGCTGGCCTCAACCGCTGATCGAATTCAGTTCCAAACACCGTGTGTGGTGGTGTTCGGTCGACGGCATCAGCAGCAGTAGCCGCAACAGTGATTTCGGCACGTGGCGTTAAACATTGTTTTCCAGTACACAGCGAAAGGCTGACTGCAAGCAGCGAGCTGAAGCCCACATAAGCATCCATAGAAGAAGGAAGAAGCCGCACCGCTATTGATCGGAGTCAGAAGCTCTTCGTGAGTCGCTGAGAACCCCGCTCAAATTCCTATTCCTACACAAAACACAAGCTCCTGCTGCAGTTAACAAATAACATTTATTATATAAGACCACGTAGTCCTACGTCACCATTGCGTACAACCCCATAGGGCTGTCCCTTGTAGTTTTTAACTTGAATTGAACAAACTTGCAATCCCATGAAATCATAACAATGATTCATGATTTCGTGATGGAAATTAATGATTTCTTAATGGAGCGGAAACATGACCACTACAAGTGTTACATGTACCTTTTGCCTTCCATTTTATAAATATAAGTACTGGTAGTCTAAAGATCAAAGTATGGGCTTAATAATCGTAAGGTTCTTGGTTCAAATCCAGTCTGTTCTGATGCTTTACTTTATGTTTTTGCATGTTTTGGTTTAAAAGTTAAGAGCTAAATTCAGTACATGATTTCACTCGGATGATTCATGATTCGAGAATCTTGGCTGCGTTACGAAAAAATATCATGAATATTATTCATGGTGTATTTTCATAACACGAAAATACGCTATGATCATGAAATCATGAGTCATATTTTTCATTTCGGAGATTGGATTTGCTCCCGGGAAAAGCTGTGAATTATGTGTTGTTATATTTTTTGCCAATTTTGGTGTATAATTAAATACTATTTTTGGTGATTTAGAAATTTCATAAATTTGAATGAAGTTTTGTTGTTGATGCTTGGATATTTTATAAATTAAGAGCCATATTGAACGAATTTTTGGAATCAATTTTTTTGAATGTAACAACTCAAGGCGGGAGTAGCCGTCAACAATGCTGATGATGGTACAGCACGCAACAACCACTCTACTGCTTTCTCTCTGAGATGACCAAGTTCGTCATGACGAGAGGAGCAACACGATAGTTGGGTCAAGAAGAATTGCATTATAACACACCATCGACTGGAAATGCTCTCGCAACGTGGGGCTTTAGGTAGTGATGAAACGTCGATAGAACTATTTCACAGCCGCAGTCAGTAATGAGCAAAAGGAGGACGCACATCTTTTGCCTGTAAACTTGAAGACATACTTCAAGTCTCCGCGTACATCGTACGGGTTAGGCAAAAGATGTGCGTTTGACTTTATACTGTCACATTAATGG